CTAGAGACACATATAGAACCTGTGCATACAGAACTGTATAGGGGAAGGCAACAGTTGGAACACGCACAACAGCCAGCCAGGAGAAGAGAGTATCTGGAAAGGGATGAAGAGCATTCCTAGGCCTCGTTCTTGTGCAACATTTGTACAGATTGTGATAATTTTGCAAAAGGTATCACCTATTTTAAAACATGGAAAAGACCAAAAATATTGTTTAAAGACCAGTCAAGAAAAAAAGGGGGTGACATTAATCTTTCACTTAGTATCGGTATGCACTGTAAGTTTTAATTTCCAAAGTAAAGGAATTTTTACAGTTTTCCTCTAGGCTGCAAACTCTCAAAGCATGGACTACACCTTCCTCGGCTTGTATCCCAAAAGCTCTTTCTAGTGGGTCTGGCTGTGGTACTTAAGAGGTCTAACATTTGGTTCCTCTGACACTGGTATTTCAGCCAGCCATGGTGGTGCATGCCTAGCTCCCCAGCTAGCCCTAGGGAAGCTAACGCAGGAGGATCACCTTGAGTTCGAGGCCAGCCTGGACCACACAGTGAGACCCTGTCTCAAAAATAATCAAAATTAGTATTTTCTTCCTCTGTGTGTGTGTGGTTTTGTGTATCCGTTTTGTGTACCCCAAGCTAGTGGTAATACCATTCTAGAAAATTAACATTTTTAAAGAACTGCCTTAAATATTGAAAGGGAAATGTAGTTCTTACATTATTTTCAGATAAAAATGTTTTGTTGTCCTATGTTTTCAGTTTAATACTTGATATGATTAACCAGCAAGGTATTTTGATTACTATGTATTTATAGCTTACCATGAGGTCACAAAGATGTATATCAAGTGCTTTCCTTAAAAATACTCACCGTCTTTCCAGAAAGGGAAATGCTGCTTCATTTGAGTTTTGCTTTCTTGAGAAACAAAAACTTGAATTCCTGAAGACTTCAGTCTAATTGTAAACAATGTAAAACTTCCCAAAAATCAGTCAACATTTCTGATATGAAAAGATATTTTAAATCACTTTGTCTCCCACTGACATAACTTGTTCATATCCCTTTATTAAGTCCATTTGCTTTCACTACTTTAATGAGCAATAAGCCAACTTACATTGTCATGGTGCCATGTCTGGTTATACAAATTTAAACCGTAACAGCCAGTGGGGCTAGGATTGCTGGGGAAACAAAAGGGTAGTGGGGACCCCACGACATAACCAGCCTGGCCAAGGGCCCAGCTGACTGATGCTGCAGGAGTCGGCGTGCCTGGAGTCTGGCCTTGCTGTTGCCCAGCCCTACCAGTCACTCTCATACCAGGGACCTCGATGTCCTCACCGCCGACTGGAGGATACAGACCATTGAGAAACATTAACTAGCCAGTGTAAACATCAAATGCGCTGGCTACAGAACAGCTTACAAGCCTAATATTTAAAGATTACATGTGCATTGAATATAGGGAGGACTTGCTAGCCTTCAGATTTTCTAGTTCTGAAAGGTTGCACTATTCCAGATGTTTCACGATTTGTTTACTGAATTTTAGGTGAGCAGTTACTATGTTATTCCCAGAGTTATGAAAATGTTAACCTCTTCATTCAAATCAGGGACAGGTTGTCAAACATAGTACTTGAGAACCCAGAAGAGTTTACAATCAAGTGCAGTGTTTTACTTCATACTGAGAATGGGAAAGGGGATCAAGATGTGAAATTTGTGTCAGGCCTTGAAGCAAGTCTGGCTAAATGAAGGGAAAGGGACCCTGGGGCAGCTGCATTCAGCAGACGGAGCTGCGTCCATGGGCTGTCTGCCCAGGAGACTCCTCCTCTCATTGGTGCTTTGGTTGAAGAGATCTGACCAACTAAGTCCGTGACTTGCCCACCAATACAAATGTTCTGGGACGCAGGCGGCCTGAAAATGGGTGCCTCGTGCATTCCTGAGCAGCTGGCCGCCAGGAGGTCCGTCCCACCAACAAACAGGTCCTTTTTTCTACCCCTCAGGACTTATCAGCCTCATCAGAGGATTAGACAAGCTAGAAGGAAAGATCAAGGCAATAGACAATATGACCTCAGGATATCTGTGCTGAGACTTTCATTACTACATGTAGCTTTCATAAAATAAAATAATGCATGTGAAGGTACCTAGAACTTGCATAGCTCAGCAGCATGAGTACCTGCCCGCCAAGTGTGCAAGGTCCTGAGTTCAATCCCCAGTACCGCCAAAAGAAAAAAAATGTAGTAGGCAAAGTGCCTCTGATACTGGAACATTAAAGGACAAGTTAAAAGGTCCAATCTCACCAGTAGGCTAAGTGTCTTCTCATGTACACTGATGTAACTCACACATGCAGTGAACAGTTCTGTCCAACGGTATGAGTGAATGCCGTTCCCAGCTTCGTTATGACAAAGATCACTGTATTCAAGAGGAAGAGCTAAAACTTGCACCTTCAGGATCATAAATGCCTTATCTACTGTAATACCCACAGGTCCAAACAACAGTAACTGAACTTTGTTTTACAAGGTTGATAATCTCTTTGAAATTAAAGTAAAACTAAAATGCCTTGTACTTTTTTTTCCAGCGTGCTACAAATGAAAACTGATGAGAACCTGAGCTTGCCGGATGGGAACACAGCAAGCCGCCCTTTGAGCCCAATTAAGATGTGCCTTAGTCGTCCCACTGGATGGAATCTGAATCTGACAGCAGCATCTCTGGCGAGCTGCACAGTTCATAACCAAAATCTCAAAAGCGAAGAAAAGTAGATTGCAGTTCTTATTTTGTATGTAATATTCTTTCTGAATGAGCATCTACCAACTGATCTTGAACTATTTCTAGTCCTGTGATGTCTTTATATTAAATCATGAGCATTAACCATTTTTATTATATTCTTGTATTTTTTTACATGTTATACACCAGACCATTGTGGAATTTTTGTAGTAGACTTTGATGTTTCTCTTTTTAATGGTATTTTGTGAATTTTTTTAAGCTCTAAGTTTAAATATATGACTGTCCTCAGTTTCAGTTCTGTACACCAAGTTTTAATATACAACACATCATGTAACTAGAAGACCTTGTAAAGACATGTGATGCTGACCTGACCCATGAACAGCTGTCTCACAGGTGGATACCAACTACCTCGAAGCAAACTGGTAAAAAGAGGTATCGCTCGAAGTACATATCCTTCAAAGTTATATATGTATAGAAGCGCAACTATAATTTATCGTTAGGTAGCATGTTCCCACTCCTAGGCAAACGAGTTGATCAGTTCTTTCCCCACAGGCTCTAAGAGTAATGGCACAAGTGCATGTCTACCCTTCAGCAAACCTGTGCCTCTTGGTAGTTTTATAAGAACACTGTGTGGTGGCCATAAGTTATCTATTTTGAATGAAACATGGTTCATGGATTTACATTTGTTGGTTTTATTGTATTTTAGCCAATAATTTTAAAGTTTAAAGGGATAGTTTTAAAATAGGTTAATATTCTTTATTCTAATAGTGTACAGCATATCTTCAGCAGTGGCTATGTGACCTTGTCTCTAGTCTGAATAGTGAACATACTAGAAGTCTGGTGCTTAAATTTGTTTTTCTCTGCTAGAGAAAGCAAACTTTGGTATAGTGGTCCATATACGAACATGGCTCCTTTCCTTTTGGATAGGTTGGCCATGTGCAAATGGAATTTTAGTTTATTGTCTCTAAAGATTTATAGCACATTTTGTATACCATTTCAGTCCTCCTTTCTTCCTACATCCTTCCCAAAAGTTATTATTAAAATGGCAGGGATTTGACAAAAGATATACAAAATCTGAAGCACAGGAAAAGAAACAGCCAACAGAATGCAGAACAATCAGTGACTCACACCACTGCCATATCTGCCTTTTCCTTTTGCTTCATACACATTCTTTGGAATTTCTACTGCTTTTTCAGTTTTGAGTTCTACAAAGCACATATATGTAAATAATATAGCAATTTGGTTCTAAAAACCAGCAATATTACTTTAGCTCCATCTTAGAACATTATTTTAATAACCTTTAGTAAATAAATCTAAAGAAGCACAATTAACTAAAACAGACTCATGTTAGAACATTTCCATTCTAAATAATAAAGAGAAAAGGTGATTAGAGGGATTAAAAAGATAAATGAAACTGATACGAAAAAAAGTGCTCCCAAGTTAGAATATTAAGACTTCACTTCCCACTATGATTTTTCACATAAATAAAGTATTTTGTTATGCCAAAACCAGAAAGCAGCTTCATGATTTATATGTGGTCTCTAACTCAACAACATTAACACACAATGGGTTCCAAATACAAATACTTTGGGAAAGATACCCAAACAGACAGTCATACCAAAAATACAAAATTATCAAAAGAGCTGTTCCGCTTGGACGACAGCACTGCGGTTCAGTGTGCTTGTTCTCCTCGTTGGCCATCTCTCTGGCCAGTCTGTGACACTTGCTTTCCCTTAAAATGTCAGTGTGTTCTGAAGCATTTCCAGCCACGTTGGATCTGCTCTAAGTGTAAGCTGCTCAAATGCAGGCAACTAGCTTGTTACACTTAGGAAGTTTTCATAGTGCCACTATTTCACAAGAATCACTGAAGAAGCCCACTTAAAAGCAGACGAGATACTTCCAGGGCCGGCGAGATACTCAGCAGTCTACAGCACCTGCTTAGGCAAGCTTAGACAAGTGCAGGGACTGGGGTTCAATCCACATGCTGTGCCAGCCCCACCCCCAGGGCGGACTGAGCTGGCCACAAACAAACAAAAAAAAAAAAAAAAATGCAGACTTCTAGACCCACCTGACTCTAATAAAGCAAACCTGTGACTGCCCTGCATGACACGGACAGACGTGTCCTCAGGCCTCACTCAGTGCAGCCCAGTCAGGCGATGATGGCCACCAGTGTTCAGAAGAAATCAGGCTCTTTCTGATGTTGATGCAGACATAACTTTATTAAAGCAAAGGAGTGAACATGAATTTAAAAGATCCCACACCTCCACTCTCTCTAACTTACATCATCATTGAGAAAGTGTGCAAGGTTAAGTTTACTTTTTTCTAGTGCTGCAGTTTTGGCTCGTCTCGGTAATCTCATCCTCATTTCGGATTCCGGCTCTGGAACCTCATGATCACTAAACAGATGTTGAAAATACATCAGTTTAATTAACAGCTTTAAGACCCATTTGTTTATAAATAAAACATTTTGCTTCTGACATTCTATCAGAGCGTAACTGATAGCCAGATTCCACTGAGCTTCAACTAAAATCTCACATCAACCACAATACACTGGTTACCCAACAAAGTGAATCGCAGAAAGCCTAGCTCATTTTCTATACTCTATCGAACCCTGATGTTATACAGGGAAACAAAACAATACTTTTGTAATGAGCCTTACAAGGTTTAGCCAAGACTTAAAGATACACAGTGAAAATACACACAACTTTGCCAGTGAACTGATACCAATGCAAGACAGCTGCAGACTTTCTTTTGGCCCAGCAGTGGCTTTGTGGGCAGCACCCCAAATAAGCACTGTTCATCACACAAATCACAAACATAGTTAAAGCGTAAACGTAGCTGTTCTATTACTATACATGCAGAGAACTCAAGTGTTATCTAAATTAAGAGTTTACAAATTCAAGTAATCAGACATGTAAGTAGAAAAAAACTTGGCAATATAAATTGAGGGAATATACTAAAGATGACTAGGTAATGCCAATAGGCAAAAAACACACAAGCCATAGAAATCAAATGCTCTTGAGACACAAATGGAATTTTAGACTATGTATCAAAGTCACAGTTATTCATAATTTTTACTAGCTTATAATATACTGAGCTTCTCTTACAGAAGAAAATTACATTTTTTCTACTACTCAACGCAAAGACAGGCTTCTTTGTGTACCTAGACACGGCATACCTTTCACAGTCAGCCTCGGCAGTCTGACGCCTCCGGTTTGTCCTAGATGATGCTGTCACTTTTCTCCTCCCTTCAAGACAGTATAATTATGAAATTTATTATCAGTTTATGGTTTTCAAACTAATTTCCAAATTGTCTAACTCCTTCTTGCAATGCAATTCTCTTCAACATATTTCCTGTTACCAGATACCTTGATCCCAATTATCAACAGACCATCGGAGAAAACAATAGAAGACAAAAATAATATTTTGTTAAGCACTGACAGTGGGCAAGGAAAAATGCTATAAGCAAGTTACTAAGCAGCAAGTTTTAGTTGAGTACATTTGGGGACAGAGCTTAGGGAAAACAGGTTAAATGAAAAAGTACCTTTATTATGGCTACAGTACAATGCCCATGGAGAAATTAATGAAAATTAAGATTAGAAAGGTTAAGTTTATGAACAGTTCATGAACTGGAACTTAATTTTTTTTTTTTAAGACAGAGTCCCAGATGGGGCTCGGCCCCAACTCCCACCCCAGGCTCCTCAGCCAGTAGGACTATAGGCCTGCACCAGTGCTCCACTTTGGAACAGAAATTCAATCAGCAAGACACTGGCGTCTTATAAAATATTTAACTTCACAGCCAGTTTAAATATGGGCTCTAATGTATATTGCAATAAAAAAAAAAAAGAAAAAAAAAACTAGAGCCTTTATATGCTAGAAATTGCAAACATTCCACTTGCTAGAAATTTATAAAGAATAGAAAATCTGAGACTGGGCATGGTGGCGCACAAGTCCAATCGAGTACTGAGACCCTGAACACCCTGTAGACCCTTCCCTCAAATATAAAAAAGAAAAAACAAAAAAGAAAATCTGGCCTGTGATGTTCCTTATTTAGAATATACAAAATATGGAATTAAAAGCTTGAGCTATTAAAACAAAAGGATGGAATTCTTAAGGTATATTATATGAATAATAATAATCAAAACCAAACTGTTTAAATGACATTTGGCAAGTTATACACCCTAGTCACCCTCATTCTCCCCCCATACCTTACTGACTGGCTTTTAGTAACACACTTCTCCCTAAGAAGGCATCATTCCAACGATATGGAAATAATTTTCAGCAATATTTAGTAACTGATGTTTAAATAACTGGTTATACAACAATTTTATGGTCAGATTCCATTAAAAAAAATTTAAACCTGCTTAGAAAGGGTCTGTAATATTTTTCAAAGTTAAAAATCATGGTTGGCTCATTGGGTGGGGTTTTTAGTGTTCTTCATGGTAGTTTGCTTGGATGTACTTTCTGATTCTTCTGTAATAAGCATGTACTGCTTTTGTAACAAGTAAATAAAATAATTAAAATATCTTGTATTTCAGATTTTTTCCAAATGATCCCTTAGCAGTAAACGTTTACTTCATTCCAACAAATCCTTCATTGTTGAATATTCCTTGGGAAATAAATTAAGATTGGAAAATATGAAATATGATGGCAAAAGGAAGAAAACAAAAAAATACTAGGAAGCAAAAAGATGGAAAATGCTCAGCAATATAACAAGACAGTGATATAAAACTATTACCAAATACTAATTAGATTATCTTTTAAAATATGATCTTTTATATATTTCTGTCAATTAAAAGCACTTACGCTAATACTGATTTTATAATCTTTAGATATAAATTGAAAACTTGCCAAGTGAAAGAATTTTTTTTTAAGTTAAGGATACCTAAGACATTTAAAAATATTAATCTCTGAGGAAACAAAATTTGCAAGGTGAAGTGCTTTTTGCTGGAAGACAAAATGAAAGTTTTATTCTAAGAGGCTGTCCACATACCTCCATTAGCCTTTCGCTGAGTGGATTTGCATCGCTGGGCTGCTTTTGCACCTTTAAAGGGAGTCATATATACTTCTTTGTTCTTTTCTATTAAAGGAAATAATACAACAATGTAACTAAAAGACAGTCTTACGAAGTACAGCAATACCTTGGTTGACACTTTTGTGTATAAACAAAAGCACTCGGCAACATTTTCTGTTTGCAAACTCTACATGACACACTCAGCATAGGCCATGTTCTCCACACAGATAAAATCATGGCCATCTTCCCTAAGATTCAAAAATACATTATTAAGTTCATAAACTGAGGTACCACTTCATTGTAGATGATATTTTCATCTTACAGCAAAAAGCCCTGTGATCAGTGGGTTGTCTAAGTCACTGCCCCAAAGTAAATGTATATACAGTAGTGAAAACAAAACTGACAAAGATGTCTGCAGAGTCACAAATGCATGCAGAATAAATGTGTTAGTAATGCTCTTTGCCAAGAAGATTAATTTGAAAAGGATTTTCACTGATTCCTGAACCCAAATACATTAAAGGAGAACAAAATACATTTCAGTAAAGATGAAAGAGATATTCAGGTCAGAGTGTCATTACCATCTTCATTTTCAGGGACAGTTGTGGTCGTGCTGGCATCCTGCACTGCTGCCTGGTCACCAACCTCACTTCCTCTTTCTAAGTGACTCTTGACTTTCTCCAATGCCCTCAGGCATGTCCTGTCCTTTACTTGCTATTTTAAAATGAAAAAAAAAAAAAAGCTTTATAAAATTAAAGTTTGTTTAAAGTTTAATACAAAGTTCAAAAAAAAACTTAAAAAAATCCTTCTCAACTTTTACGGGGCAGGCTTGAGTTCAATGCCCGGTTCCGCCAAAAACAAAATAAAATAAGACAAAGTTCAACAAAGTTGATACCAACATTCATGAGATTTACAAAGAAAATACTTCAAGTAACAAAATTGCAATATATCTAATATGTATAATACAACCATTTAATTCTACTCTGATAAATATGAAATCAAGCTGGTAAAATTAGGAAGAAACTATTTTACCTCCACAATCTCATTCAGAAGGACCAGTAGATCTTTTGTAAGGTTGCTGCTCAGTTCTAAAGAGCACAAAGCTTTTGTGTAGACTCGAATTTCTGGGGAGCATGGGCTTGTTAAGATCTCATTGCAAATTTTTATAGCCAAGTTGTCATGTACTGTTAAGGCCTAGAAATTTCAAGGGAAAATCTTTGTAAACTGAAAATACTATGAATAAAATCTATACATCTAATCCCAAATGCAAAATGTCTAAAATCAAATTTAACATCTCCCCTACCACCAAAAGAAAACTTTCCTTGAATTCGTGCAGTGAACGCTGAACTCAGACTTGCTTTGAGTCTGGAGACTCAAGGTTCCCGCCAGGAGCACCGGCCCAGGCTGACAAGCGCAGGCAGCGCTTCCCCGAAGGCTTGGCGCACAGCCAGTGCACTGGCGGAATGGTCCAGCTTACTTCCATCTGAGCAACTTAGAACACCCCAGGTCAAAAGCTCCCTGCAGGACCAGCACAGGCCTCTGCCCCACATGCACAGCAGTAGCCCTGGTGACCTGGTCCCACCACCCAGCCCACTTCCCCCACTCCAAGAAGCCGGTCATGACAGCATCACCCATCCAACTACACAGAACAGCCCGTATAAAGTCCCTTGCCGCCCTCGCACCTTGATCTTCCCTGTAAGCTCTTGTACCCATACCTTTTTTGGAAACTATATTAACTTCCGTTATTTCTACTCTGTACTACTTTCTATAATGCCTTTTTCTATAAACTTTTATCTCCTAATCAAACATGCATTTAACTGTTTTATTAATATTCTCTTTGTCATCAATTCAGATCACATCAATGACCACTAAATCCTAAGAAGCAGCTTTCATCCTGTGCTCAGTGACCTACTATAATAAGGCTAAGTCCCAATTCTCTACCTTAGCTTTTCAAACATGCTTTGCATAACCATCTACAATCACTACTTTTACTTATACTTTTCTTTTTACCCAAACCATTCCTTAAAACTCAACTATGCCCAAGTGAATTTTACTCACAATGAGTTTTTAAATTATTAATCCTCTGCCTATCACTGGACACCAGTCTAGCCCTTCTCCAAAGACCTTAGGCACCTGGCAGCTGACCTTCACCATACACTGCCACCTATCTTTTCTGATTCCATGTTCCAAAGAGCATGTAATAATATGAAGAGTATACAGTTACTGAATAGCAAATAAATTGCAGAAAGCAGTATTTTCAACTTTATCAGGCATTTGAAATCACTAAAAATCCATTAAATTTAAAAACTGGCAGGAAGTTTCATCAAATGCCATTAAGGGCTTTTCAAATCCCATTTATTTGTGGGTCTGTCTGCAACTGACTTTTCTTCTTCAAAAATAAAAATATGCAATTTCTGTTCTTTCATTTGTCCCTTCTTTTAATGGCAGCATCACAGGGAAGTCAACAGTTGAAAACATGATCAGTCCTTGATAACACAGCCAGTGACTGACAGCCTGTACTACATGGTGGGGAACAGAGAAACTTTTAATAACTTCTCGGCAAAAATGTAAGAAATGACTACTTCTACTTCTACTTCTGTTATTCTGATGTGATCTGAAGTGATGACTTCTACTTCAATGATTTTTCCATATTCCCACAAAGATCTTTTCCTTCTTTTGTACTTGTTATAGACTACTAGAAAGACAGAAGTCAAGACCAAAAGGCCATTCCTCACTATGTCAAACAATCTAAGGGGCCGGGGAGATGGCTCAGTGGAATAAACACTTCCCTGGCAAGCATAAGGGCCTGAATTCAATCCCTGATTCCACAAAAAAAAAAACCTGAGAGGGATTAGTTTGCAAAAAAGAAGCGATCTACATGCAGTTATGACACACTGTCCACAGCTAATGTACTCATCCACCTGATAATCTTGGGAATTCTGAGCCTGAGGATTTAATCCACTTGGTCTTGTTAGATCAACGAGTAATTCAGCCACATTTGTGATGTCCACTTCAGCCAAAGGGGATGAGGCAGGGGCACTAGCTAAAGTTCGCAGAGTTGGAAGAAAGGCTTCTTCAAAGCACTCCTGATTCGTCCTATTGAAGAACAATTTCAAAGTATGTTGATAAGATATTATGAAGGAAAGAAAAGCTTAAGTGTAAAACATATGCATAGCATTCATCCCACCAAGATAAAGTAAATTTTCACCTCGTAGATCAATCTATGTAAGTTCTTCCCATGTCATCATTTACTGACTAAAGAAAGAGTATTCAAAAAATGACATCATAGATAAAATTACTGGGGGTGGGCGAGGGAGGGGTGGGTGACCTGCAAGGCCCACCAACATGACCGCTTACCTGCTAGCATAAGCAAACATGGGGAAGAACACACCGAGGCAATGCCGAAGTCGAACATCCTCTTCTGTCACAGGATTGTACCATAACAAAATAAGACGAGAAAGAATCCTGCTGCTGACCAAAACTCCAGAAAACATCAATTTGGCTAGTCCTTCTGCAGCGCCTGTCCTGAGTTCAGACACCTAATAAAGATGACATTCATCAAAATTTGTATCTATATTTTCCTTTTAGGCCTCACAATGTAGCCCATTCTACAATATTTTTAAATGAATTAACCAAAAATCACTCATTATGAATTTGCTAAAGACATGTGAAAAATCTTTTCACAGCTAAACTAAAGATTTTAAACAAATCAATCCAGCCAAGACAACTTTATAAACTTTTTACAAATGCTGGGAAATCAAAAATCAGCACTCCTCCTGCCTCAATGTCCTGCCTGGGATTACAGGTGTGTCACCATGCTCAGCAGAAATGGTTAAAAAGTAAATAGAACCTAGCCAGAAAGAAATTTAAATCAGTTACTAACAAAGCAAAACTCACTCACTGAATGTTCAGGAGTCTCCTACCTTGGCATTAGGAATAAGACCATGACCCCAGGCCATCCCAACTGGAAGTCAGGATACCACATAACAACTCAAAATTGAGAAATTTTGTCTAGTATCATGGTAGTCACCCAGCTCTCTTTTTGGATACTATTTGCCTAGAATATCTTTTTTATCTTTTCATTCTCAACCCTCTTTTGTGTTTGGATCAAAAGTGAGTTTCTAGGAGACACAATCCAGCTGAAACGTTTTTGTTCACAGGAATAACCTTGGACAACTTGCATCTGACAGTGCATCCTTCAGGTAACGTCAAAAGCACAAGCAATGAAGGAAAAATACATTTGCATCAAAATTTTAAATTTTAGCCATGAAGGAGATTACAGTTTAAACCTAGATGCTTCCCCAGGGCACCACGCACTCACAGGCAAAGCTTCTGGAAGGGGACTAAACCTCAGGAGTGGGAGCGTGGCCTGCTGAGCAGCAGAGCCCAACACACGCAGCAGCTCCCAGGGCACCTGCAAGGCCACAGCCACCTTCCCCGCTCCTCCCTTTGCTCCTGCTTCCTGGCAGCTGCCAGGTTTCCTCCCCAGGCTCAACTAGGGACTGAAAACATGGACCAAAATAAGCTTTCTGAATGTGAGCGTGATCCAGCTGTGACACCTGTCACCCGTGGGTCACCAGGACTCATCTGCTGACCTGGCTGGCTCGGCGGCTGTCCCCATCCTCCCCCACTGCTCCCTATGCATCCCTCCAGAAGCTGTGGAGGTAGTTGGGGAGAGAGGACCACACCCCCGATAAAGGAGGGCTGTTCCTTCCCCTGAGGCTATAGGAGTAGCTGTGCCCCTGCCAGAACTTCCAAACAAGCTCTCAAACCTTCTCCTTTAAGTTGTGGATGTCAGCTACTGTGTATGAACAAGAATAGTGACTATGCAAAGGACATTAATAAGAAATTTAAAAGACCTTGTAAAATACAAAAAATATCTGCACGTTATCTAATGAGCCGTGACAAACCGCTATACATACTCATAGTCCATACAAACAACCGAAGTTAAAAATGGGCAAAAGCCCTGAACAGATATTTCTTCAACAGGGTACATAATGGCCAGGCAGATGAGAAGACACTCAACTCCATTAGTCATCAGGAACACGCAAACCAAGCCAACAATGAATCAGCGTTTCACACATACAGGAGTAGCTATTGTTTTATAGCAAACAAGTGTTGCGAAGCATGTGGAAAAACTGCAAGTGAGATTATAAAACAGTTCAGATATTGTGGGAAAGTTTGGCAGGCCCTCAGGAAGAATTACATGACTTAGCGATCCAACCGAAGAACTGAAAATAGAAACACGCACACACATGCCAACAGCAGCACCACAATATCCCACATGCCTTCAATGGACGGCTGGGTAAGCAGTCACACAATAAACAAATAAAACGGAATATTATCCAGCTATCACAAGGAATGAGATACTGATACAATATGGATAACCTTGAATATATTCTAAAAGAAGCCAGAGACAAAAACGGTCACATGCTGTATGGTTTCTACTCACCTGAAAATCCACAGCAGTCCTATTTTGGGCCAAAGTACAGACTGGCTGTTATCAAGGACTAATGGGAAGAGTTTCAATGAGCTAAGGAAAGCTTAGAGATGAAGGGCCAGCCAGAGAGCTCAGCGAATTATAAAGTGCCTGCTTAGGCAGAGTGCAGTGGAATCCCCAGGCGCGCAGTGCAGGCTCTGCCCCCAGGGTATGCTGAGCTGCAATTGAGACTGGGTGTGGTGGTGCATGCCCAATCCCAGTGCTTGGGAGGCTAAAAACAGGAGAATCACTGAGTCCAATCTATGTAGTAAGGCTCTGTACACCTTGTACCAAATACATTTAAAAAAAAGAAAATAGCCTGAGAAAAAAATACCTAACTCCATAACCTACCTTATACCTTCCACCAACTCAATGTAAACATTACTCTGAACTCTTAAAAGTCAAATCAAAAGTCCCTAAATCACAAATCATGTTTTATATCATAAAAGAGGAAAAGTAACAACTCTTTTTAATAGCCTTTGTTGCTGGCTGTCATGGTGGTGGTGGCGCAGGCTTCTAGTTTTTTTTTTTTTTTTTTTTAATGTATTTAGTACAGGGTCTACAGGGTCTCCCTACACAGATCAGACTCATAGTGACCCTTCCTGGTTTTCAGCCTCCCAAGCGCTGGGATTACAGGCACAAGCCACCACGCCCAGTCTCAGTTGCTACCTCAGAGTGTCCTGGGGGAAGGGCTGGCCTCTAGACCCAGCACTTGGGAGGCTGAGGCAGGACTGCTGAGTTCAAGATCAGTCTGGGCTACAAAGTAAGCTCAAGGCCAATATGAACTGCACAGAGACTGTCGCAAGAAGACCAAACCCCCTCAAAACAAAACAAAAAAAATCTCAAATAGCCATCTGTTTCCTCTTTGCATACCAAATTTATAGTGAGAAATTAGCTATGTGAAACTTGAGATTTAAGATATTAAAATGTCCAAGTTCAAACATCAGCACAAAAAATATCAAATATAAAACAAAAATACAAATGATAGTAAGGTTCAGATTTCTTACCTCGCTATCTAAGAAATCAGAGAGGAGTCTCAGGACATTCTTGGCAGTAGAAGTCTCAACTTCCTTTGATTCTTGCTCATCATCACTGTTCCTTTCTGTGTCCTCACTTGGCGGGGCCTGGACTTCCTTAGCTTTAAACGGTTCAATCCCAAACGTCATCAGCTGGTCGAAGATTGCTTTTAAAGCACTTATTTTTATTGTGATGTCATCAATTTGCAAAACCTAATTGAGACATTCATTAAAAAAAAAAAAAAAAAAAAAACTTGAGTACAATAATTCTATCCATTCTGAATAAAATTAATACATATCTTCTTCTTGGCCAAATTTCGATGACAGTGTCAACAGAAAACACTTTTCAGAAGTACAATTAAATTTTCAATTTTTTTTTAAATGTATTTAGTACAGGGTCACAGGGTCTCACTACAAGACCAGGCTCCTAATGATCCTCCTATTCTCAGTCTCCCAAGCACTGGGATTGCAGGTGCACACCACCACACCCAGTCTCAATGGCCCTCTCAGCATGCCCTGGGGACAGGGTCAGCAGGGCATACATTAGCAAAAATTAAAGGCATCAAAATTCAGTATTTGCAAATCAAAGGTCAAGTTAATTTAACTATCTCTTGAAGAAGTCCTATGCCATTTTATTTATTTATTTATTTTTGTATTTTAGGGAAGGGTCTACAGGGTGTTCAAAGTCTCACTACTAGATCGAACTCGTAGTGATCCGCCTGTTTACAGCTTCCCAAGAGCTGGGATTACAGGTGTGTGCCACCATGCCCAGTCTAGCCATTTTCTTTATTATAGAAACTTAAAAGCTTACATAGTTGACCACCTCTAATTGCTATAAATTCCAAGTTTCCTACTAAAGAACAGCATTGCACCAACTACCTTTCATCCTCTAGCATTTTTGCCTTTCAGTTGGGTTATTCGCAATATACACATATGCTACATTATCTTCATTACTAAAACCAATACATCTCTTTTTACTCTAGACACTTTTCTTGCTACTACCCTGTTCTAGTTCTAATGGAAAAAGAAAAGAAAAATCTCAAACAGTAACCCACACTGACTGTCTAACTCCACTCCCATTGTTCTCCGTTCAGCCTGCCCCAATCCAATTTTGCCTTTCACATAACTACTTTCATGCAACAAAGTCAACAAATACTTTCTGTCAGCAAAAGTCAACTATGAACCCTGAGCTAGCTGTCAACAGCACTGGACATTGGTCTCTCTCATTAAAATATTGCCTTTACTTCTAAGACTTTACACCCTCTACTTTCTACTTCACCTTCTACATCATCTCTTCCCTGGATTACAGACTATCTTCTTTAGCCTCCCTGCTTCTGATTTATCCTTCTGTACTTCATACACAGCAACTGCAAACTACAAACTACAACACAAGGGTCAAATCCGGCAGATCATCAGTTTTTGTACATATTTTCAAAAGGTTAAAAAATTTCATTATATGTGAAATGCATTATGTACAATCTCTGGCTGTTTTCACACTACAACACAAGAGCTCACCGGCTGAAAGCGATCATATGGCCTGCAAAACCTAAAATAATTATTCTCTGGTCTTTTGCAGAAAAGATTTACAACTTTTCCCTGGTATATATTAACACTATATCCATTCAGATAGCAAACTGATTCCCACCTCGATCAGTGGAAGTCGATGCCTTTATAGTCTTATAGTCTAGAAGACAAGGACATCCTGCAAGCTCTTTTGCTGTCATTCTCTGCACTGTTTGTCTGTCTTCGCCTCTTCAACATGCCACGCGGAGTCCCACCACCCAAGTACTCACTTTTCCCATCACTATGGTATGGGCCCCAGTGCCAAATTAAAACTGAGGCCTTCCTCAGTCACACAATCCCTCCACCTCTTCTCCATCCTTATTCCTTTCCTGTTTTATTCTTCATCTGAGCTATCACACACTTGTGCTTCCCCTACTAGAATAAGTTTTATTAGCACAACTTTAAGAAAAAGAAACAAGATGAAATTCCAAAATATGATAGGAGGGTAACGATTAATACAATGTACACTGTTATCTTTAGTTACTCAGAGTACAGGATATCAGCATTTCATTGCCCAAACAGTTTTAGCACACACCTACCTCTTCAGTGAACTGAAATTAGTAGCATAACTATTTTAATTATCTTCTGTGTGTTTTATAATGTATCTTTTTTTCCCTTTTGCTTTTCCCTTTCTCTTTTCTACTCCCTTGAACCAATTTAGTACAACTTTTAACTTCTTGGTTTTTTTTTTCTACCACCTGTCATATATTCTCTAAGCCTACAACAGTGCAGGCATATAAGATATATAAACACTTGATATGCAAATACAGTATGTTAAGTTGACATTTCATTATTTCTGAAAAAGTTTTCATAAAAACATCAAAAGAAAATTTCAGTACCTAAAGATTATAATCATTAAGCCTCAGAATAAATTCTTAACGCTCTCTCCACAGACAGAACATTTCAGGAAATATATTGAGATTTTGCCATTAAAAAAAAAAATCCCACCTGCAATAGTAATACAAAGTGTTTACTTGCAAGTTCCTGACTCTGTAGTCCACAGCATCCCAAGCATAAGACAGCCAGGTTTCTTATTACAGGATGGACACTTACTATTCCAGGGAGAATCTAAGGTAAATAAGAAAATAATTTGCAATAAGGCAAGAAATTCAGCAGAGCATATTAAAGTCATGGTCAAAATGTTAGCTCCTATATGATTTTATAAGTCTATTTTATTTCCATATTGTCTAGTAACTCAAAGAAATAATTTTCATTTAAGAGTAAGGTAGATATTAAATTTCTAAAACAGAAAATAGCCAGTGATGTTCCTGACATATAGTCAGAGCACGAGCTGCCCTGCCACACCTGTTAAAGTGACTCAGAGGTCTCCAAAGCTCACGGAAGACGACCAGCTCCTTAAGATGACACATACTGGTCCTCGCTGTACAGCAGCCCCCTCATCTTACACCACCCTGTTCCTTCTCCTCACTGCTTTGGTTTTAATCCCTTTCTTCACTGTCCAACTAAAATGGAAGTCACAATGGGAACCACAAGCCATTCTGATCATTCTAGCAGTCAACCAAAAGTAAACAGAAGACAGCTGAAAGCAATTTTATGTTTTCATTGATATTTTATTGAGTTGAACACAAAATATCACTGCAACTTGCAGTCATTATGAAATGCTTCAAACGAAACGGCTTACATTCTACCACTGTGCTAAGTCTTTTACCCTTGTAGCACACCTCAGCTTAGTTTTAATGGCCACACATGACTAATATTAAACATTCTTCCCTTCTTCACATAGTAAATATCTACTGAAATATCAGATCAGGTTCACCTTCCATGAATAGGTGATATCCTATTACAAATTCACATATGACAATACAACCCTTGTTTAGAGCAAGTGTCAATGTAGAAGTGGCCCGTTTTCCTCATATTCAGGGGCAAGGGAATGAAGATAGGTCCCAGCCTAAAGGAAGTGGAGGGCACAGAACTCCTTTCTGAGATTACCATATAACCTTCTTCCAGTCCTTCTATACAGCAAGATTCTAGTACTTAAAATATTCCTGATATTTTTTAGTATCTCTACTTGCTTCCCAAAGAATCAAAATATTCTGATGTTTTTGTAGCATGAAGTAATTCTCTAAACCTTTTTTAAAAATTGTAAGTTACAATAGCTTGGTGCGACAGCATATGCCTGTAATCCCAGTATTCTAGAGGCTAAGGCAGGCAGATCTCTGTGAGTTTAAGCGGCCAGCCTGGATCACGTACCAAAAAAAGAAACAAAATCAAAACCTGTTCCTTTAGATGCATTATCTTATTTAATCCTCATGATATGAAAGAGCAACTGTATTTATTATCATCTGTATTTGTGGATGTTTACAAGAGTCGTCTTTGATTCTTCTGTCACCTAAGGAACATGTTACTTACAAACAGAGGGGGAGAGCTGGATACAACAAAGCCTTGAAGGCTACAACATACCAAAGATTCAATGAGCCCGTTCATAGTTGCACCTATACCAGCTGAAATGGACATCTGTTTCAACAGTTCATAGCACAAGATAAGACACTTCTGTAGTGTTTCAGCATCATTCTAAAGGGGAAAAACAAAAGTTACCATTAGCAAGAGTATTTTCTGCCAATCTCTTTATGTCTGCTTTCTGAGCTTTTTGTCTAGGGTACACTATCACTTTTTAAGGGTCTACAGGGTGTCCAGGGTCTCACTACTGGATTGGACCATAGTGATCTGCCTGTTTACAACCTCCCAAGAGCTGGGATTACAGGTACGCGCTCCATCACACCCAGTCTCAATGCACCCTAGGGGTGGGGCCGGCACAGCAGGCCAGGGAATTAAACCCCCAGCTCCTGCACCTGCTTGCGGTGCTTTAATCAGCTGAGCTATTTGGCTGGTAGGGCATACTACCACTTGATACACATTCCCTCACTGAACTTATCCAGTTATACACCACTACTTTTTGTGTGTGTGTGGTGGAGGATCAAACTTGGGATCTTGCATTTGCCAGGCCGGCACTTACGCCACTGAACTATGTCCCCAAGCCCCTACCACTTACATAAATGCTAGCCATGCTATTTTCTACATCTCCGATTCATACATACAATTGCTATATGACAATTCCTCCTGAAGCCTCCACCAGCTCCTCAAACTCATCCTGTCCGAAGGAATCTAAACTGTTACTCAAAACTCTCTTATCTTCTCAGTGTACCACTATCTATGCAGCTGTCTCAAAGATGTACAGTACCTTCTTGGCTCCCTATGTCCTGTTACGAACTCCTACATGCCTTCCAAATGATGCTTCTTTCTACATGTTTTTTTCTACCACCATCTAATCCACACTGGTACAATCTGGGCCTACTTTACTATTAACAGCCTCCCAATCATGATGCCTGTTTAGGCTCTAATCCACTTCCGGAAAAATACTGGTTCTTCTAGGATTTCATCCTATCACTTAAAATATTAGTAGTATTGCTTATATAAGCCCTTGTGTAAGACAGCTCTCAAATTTTCCCCAAATTTATCTCTTATCTTTCCCACTCAATTCAATGATCATATAAACCAGAGTTTTATTTTGAAATTTTTAGAAATCTTTTATGTATTTATTTGGTACAGGATTTTGCTACGCAGCTCGGACTTATAGTGACCCTTGTGTTTCAGCCTCCCCAGTGCTGGAATTACAGGCACACACTACTACACCTGGTCTCAGTGGCCAGCACAGCATGCCTGGGTTCCTGGGGCTGGCTTGGCACGCAGTAGCAGGGATCAAACCCGGGTCCTTGCACTTGCCAGGAAGGCATTTAGACTGCTGAGCTATCTCCAGAGCCCTAACCCACAGTTTGTTTTTTTTTTCTATAGTTTTATTGATAAACAGATAGCAATGAGACAGTTTCAAATCAAATCAGAAGTACAGTTTCAACAAATAATACACTGCGTATATTCTTCTTAGTGGTTAATTGCTGTACAAGATGCGGACTTGTGATCCTATTTACAAACACCATTAGAACAAATCATTCTATTCATTAAGACAATGCAACTATATATCTACCCCAACCACTTTGAATACACAGATACAGAATGGACATTCATCGGTATACCCCATTTTTCCTAAGTTCCGTTATTGAATATTATAGGTGTGTAAACTCAGCAAAATATTCTAAAAGAGTCCAGTAGCCCATAATAGCATTGGGTCTTCTGTTTAACTGGCAATGTCAGAAATTATTGACCTGAGTCCCCCACAGCTTAACTTAACAGCATGGCTTTATTTCTTATATTTCGTCTTCTAACCCACAGTTTTAAAACACAACATGTACTCTTCAACTCTTATGCCACCACTTATCAGTCCATTTGTTTATAACATCTCCATAAATAATTCATTAAGAAGTGATAACAAAGAGTGTATTAAACTACCAATCTAGAGCGGCTACTTAAGTTAGAATCCTAACTCTAACATTTACTGCCAGCATAGCCTAGGCAAATAGCACACCCTTTCAATAAATACTATACAGTACTTTCCTCTTACGGTTACAGTGAGTCAAATTAGCCCACACTTATAAGTGCTTGAAGGAGTGACTACCACAGCAAAAACATCCTCAAACTGGTACTGTACATTATTGCTTGCATTCAACTCTCAGGTTTAAATAGCACTCCTGTGCTAGATACTCTGGCATAAAACTTTTGCATTTCTCTGATCACAATATCCATTGTACTCTGCTATGATTGTACCGTAACAGTTATAGGCCTCGAACGGACAAAGAGACACATAAATGATCAAAGCAAGCCAAGTTAAACAGCTACCAATCATGATAGACTCCACTTGCTGATATTTTCCTAACTTGGACCTACAGTTTGTCATTTTTAAGATTATATTTCAGGGGCCGGGGAGATAGCTCTATAGTGCAAGGGCCTGAGTTCAATCCCTGGTTCTGCAAAAGGAAAGGAAAAAAAAAAAAAGGCAGAAAGATATTTCAGTTAATGCTATAAATTTGTATCCCAAATTTAAAAATACATAATTATCCAGACATTTTACAAATAAAAAAACAAAGCCACTACCTATGAAAATAAATCCAGTTATTCCCACTAGGAAGGTGAAGTGTTAGGATCTCTATGGCCAAGGACGTCCAGAATACACTTACTGAAACCTCTTACGTAGGTAATGTTCCTACTCAGCACTCTCTTCGTGAGAACAGTCTATTCAGCATTGCCCAAACCGAAAGTAAAATAAAAATGTTCAATACAAAGTAAGATCCTAAAAAACCTGTAGCATCAAATATATTGAAACTGGGCCATGGAAATAGCTCAGCAGCAGAAGCACCTACAGTATAGAGGACCTTGGCAGGCACAAGATCCTCAGTTCAATCTCTGATACCAAACAAACAAACAAATATACTGAAATCATTCCATCTACTTCATATTAAGTTTGAAGGATCCACTTAAGAGATATTTATGAAACTGAATGTTTAAAAAGACTGCCAAAAAGCTTTAAATGTTACATTATCTCACTAAAAATCACAGATCTGCTATGCTAATTAAAAACATTAAGAATAATTACACTATACAACACACACATGGCTGAAAACAACAGAACGTGCCTGTAATCCCAGCTACAAGAAGGCTATGGCAGGAGGACTATAAATTCAAGCCTTGCCCAAGAAACTGAGACCATATTTCAAAATCAAAACCAAAAATAAAAAAAGAACTGGGGCCTGGCAAGCATGAGGCCCTGAGTGCAATTCACAGTACCAAAAACAAGAGCTGGGGATGTAGCTCAGTGGTAGAACACCCAAGTACCCAAAAGCAAAAAGCAAACAAACGAACAAAATACAGAAGTAAATGCCTGGAAAATTAGTTTCTCTAGTAAGAGAGAAAGACTTCTGATTCCAGGAAATACCATGATAAGGGAACAAATAATAGCTAGCTACAGTAATTAATGTTAAGTAAGGCCTTTCAAATTACAAAGAATGGAAAGCAGCAGGAGAAAACTATGGTTTTTTTCTTTTTTCATTTTAACTCAAGTTCTTAAAAATCCCTCCAAAAGAAATATACTATATTCTGAAAGTTTTATGGGTTAAAGAATTAAGATTTAAGCCATGCTGTTAAGTTGAGCTGTGGGGGACTCAGGTCAATAATTTCTGACATTGCCAGTTAAACAGAAGACCCAATGCTATTATGGGCTACTGGACTCTTAGAATATTTTGCTGAGTTTACACACCTATGATATTCAATAACGGAACTTAGAAAAATGGGGTATACAGATGAATGTCCATTTTGTATCTGTGTATTCAAAGTGGTTGGGATATATAGTTACATTCTGTTAATGAATAGAATGATTTGTTCTAATGGTGTTTGTAAATAGGATCACAAGTCCGCATCTTGTACAGCAATTAACCACTAAGAAGAATATATGCAGTGTATTATTTGTTGAAAAATAAAAAAAAAAATAATAAAAAAAATAAAAGAAAAAAAGAGAAAAGAAAAAGAAAAAAATAAATAAACACAATATCTGCTTTTTATAGACATGCAAAAAAAAAAAAGAATTAAGATTTAGCTGAGATCAATGGTTGAGATTTAGCATGAAAAACTATACCTTCTCTATGTGGACTTCTTTAATTTCAGGTTGCTCTGTCTCTTTCAACAGATTTATTTTGGCATCTTCTAATGCTCTTATTTCTTCTTTTAATTTTGATGCCTGATTAAAATCTTGTAAAGTAATGCAATTTTCCAAAGCCTCTTTTGCTTCGATAAGTTTAACTTTTATTTCAGCTATCTAAAAAAAAACCATAAATTAATTATTTCAATGCCAAACAAAAAAATATCAATAGAAAGACATGTAGCCAACCGAAGAGAATTATTTAATTTAATGACTTAGAATTTAAGTGATCAGGCATACATAAAGCTGTCATTTTCCTGAACAGACATCAGGTACTCCTGCACACTGACATAATCTGTTAACACTTTAAATACTCTCATAGTTAATATTTAACCAAACAAATTAACTTCTTCCTATTATGAAGAAGCAGACTTGCACCACTATACTACTCAAGCATTTAATTTGAAAAGGCATACCTTGAGTTCTTTCTTCCTTACAACAGATGGGTCATTATTAACACCAACAGTAACAATGGGTGCTCGAATCTCTGAGATAATTTCTGTAACCTGGTAAATTAAAGTTCACAGTACAAGTTTTAATATCCTATATTAGAAAATAATTTCAAACTGCTATATAAGACTCCAAGTAAAATGTACTATATATTGAAAACCAGAGCAAATTATATAGGCTGAAGTAACATATATTCTTGTTTGGGTGATAACTTCAGAAAAAAACTCTGAACAATACACCTGATCAAAAACTAAAATTATCTGAAGGAAAACAGGGCAAATTATCTCTCGTGTATAGTATCTGAAAAACAGAAAAATGTACAAGTATGTTTAAGATTAGACACTATACACCATATTCCTCTATTCCTTTCTGGGTACACAGGGCAGAATGACAGCATAAGGAACGGCTGTCCATGGGGGCCGGGGGGATAGCTCAGTGGAGTAAGCACTTGCAAGCACAAGTGCCTGAGCTCAACCCCTCCCTGCATTCAACACCTCCCCCCCAAAAAAAAAAAAAAGAAAAGAAAAAGAATGACTGTCTTTTCAGAGCCACTTGACATGAGGCAAATGACTCAGGAAGGCTACATTCCAGGTGAAAATACAGAATTAGATGCTGCAAAATCACCAATGGGTATTTTGGGAACAGATGTGTAAAAGTTGGAAGAGATAACTTCTGAATTAACCTGCAATTCAAACATGATTTTACAGTAAGAACTCCAACCTGCCTGTCTCAGCTAACTCAGAAAAAAAAAAAAAAAAAAAAATCAATCAATCAATTTTTGGAAATAGTATTATAATAAATAAAACTCTATTTCTGTATTTACCTCACACCTATGAACATTATTATCTCACTGAACACTAAAGGGTAGGTTTCATTCTTATTTTACTGATGAGTAAAAACTAAGTAACTTGTACAAAGTCAGAGTTGGGAAGTATCAAGAAGTTTTCAAACCTAAATATGTGGACCTTTTTTTTTCCCCCATAAGTGTGTGGTCATGACCCAACTTTAGTACTCTAGTGCCCTGGGTTAAACCTCAGCCATTTCTCCCAAACTTGTTCCATTTGAAATTGACAACACAGTAGAGGGGACACTAGGAGAAGGGAGGTATTTTTAAAATGTGCATGTGTATGTGTATGAGAAAGTTTGTCTGAGTACAACTGAGAGAAAAGACTTGTTTTATAAATTTTAAAATGTTAGACAAAACTAAAAGACAAATCAAAAATTTTAAAAGAGCAATTAACATAATCTTCAATGTTATTAACTAAAATTCATCAGCAACAAGAAAAAGTACTTACAATTTGCGTTCTCTTGTTATCATCCATAATAATGTGGAGAAGTTGCTCAACAAGACATGAAACTAGGGATACAGGGGTTGTAGGCAGAGTAAGGACATCTTGCAAAATAGCCAGCAGCCTTTTTCTACAGTCAAAAAGATCACTTAAGTATCATTTGACAAAGCACATTTTACTCCTAACATTTCACCTACTCTGCAGACTTGCATTTATCTCAATGTTTTCTTTATGTTCATCATTCAGATACAGAACTCTAAGTATAGACTATACTGATGAGGCAAAAGAGACTCCATTTTAAGGGAGGGTCACTTAAGATCATTTAAACTGCAGATGAACTCACTCCCTCACTCTCTCCCAAGCAGCTAACTATAAACCCACCTAGAGAAAACCAGGGTTGTAAAACAGGAACAAACAGAATGATTTTAACTTGAGGACTAGGGCCAACAATAAACTCCAACACCCCATGACAAGCAGACGGTCAGCAGTATCTAGGAAATGTAAATCTTGTGGCAACTGTATGACATTCTTATAAAATTCCTAAAAATGAGGTAATGTGTTTACTATGAAAAACCAGAAAAGTATATAAACTGAAGATAAAGTCCAAAGGGGGCCCACAATTAGGGAGTCCTGACCAGACATCAAGATGCTGGCTTTGAGCTCATAATGAAAGCTTTTTTGTTCCTATGTCTTCAGCCTTTCTAGTGGGTGCTTTCCTCACTGAGACTGCCATAACTATAAAAAAAATCTGCATTCTCTAAAAAAATTTTACGAACTATTCTATGGTCTTTAGTAAACCAACATGATAAAATGACAAAATACCAGAGATAAATCAAACCTTTTAGCTAGCAGTCTTATTAAAGCTCTCTAACATACAGAGTTTCAACTAAACACTTGATATTTTATTGGCTCATTATTAAAAACTGAACTAGGACTAGACATAATATACATTACCATCAGTGCCATATAACATTTCAGTCAATCAAAGACTATTTATGATGGTAGCCCTATAAGGCATTACAGAGCTAAGAACACCTAATCTCTAACAATATATAGCCACAGTAAGGTAGTTTAACACATTATTGTATTGTCATTCATCAAAGCACAGCATATATATATACAGTACATAATATATGCTATTGGTTTATATATTTGCTATTCTACACTTTTTATCATTATAATATACTTCTAACATATTGAAAGAAATGCTGAGGGCTGGCCAGATAGCTCAGTGGATTAAAGCACCTGCTTAGGCAGATGCAGGGACCATAGTTTGATCACCAGCGTGCTGTGCCAGCCCTGACCCTGCAGCGCACTGAGATGGCACATGAAACTGGACGTGGTAGTGTGCGCCTGTAATCCTAGCACTTGGGAGGCTGAAAATAGAGGATCACCATGAGTCCAATCTGTGTAGTGAGACCCCATGGACTCTGTATTAAATAAAAAAAAAAAAAAAAAAAGAAAGAAAAATGTTTACTGCAAAATAGTATGCCATATTAGGGGCCAGGAAGATAGCTCAGTAGAATAAGTGCTTGCCTGGCAAGACAAAGGCCTGAGTTCAATCCCTGGTTCTGCAAAAAAAAAAAAAAAAATATGCCATATTACACTGGTCATAGCCTTGAACACCTGTGTGCATCAAGTCTCTTGGATACTACATCCATGATGACGTTCAGACAATGACACCACTTCCTAATAACAGGATTCTCTGAATACGTCCTGTTGCTAAGTGACACTTGACTGACTATATATTGATGTACATACACACACACACACACACACACACACACACACACACGGAAAGCTAAAAACACCTTCATAGTACATTAGAGAGCTTGGATAAATATACCTAATCATATTGCAATAAGACAATATTTAAATACAGGAAAAAAATTAGAAGAATAAAATAAATATTCAGACATACCTTCCTCCTTCTTCACTGGTATCCAAAGACTTGATAATTAAAATCAACTGCTGACCTATGAATTCCTTTGTCATCAAATTTCCAAGGTAGGAAAAGTCACATCTTTGTTCTTCATTAACTACTGGAATGCTCTTGATAAAGCTAAAGTAGAAACCAATAAAGCAGAATCAATCAAGAACCACCAAACAGGGTCAGGGAGATAGCTCAGTAGAATCAGTGCTTGCCTGGCAAGCTCAAGGGTCTGAGTTCAATCCCCGGTTCCACCAAAAACAGAACCAAACAGGAGTTGCTTCCTGCCTTTAGGTCGGCAAAGAATCTTTTCCAGTTCATATTAGTCCAAATATGCAGATGTTTATATAATGTAATAAATGCCTATTGTAATAATTCTACCTTATTGTAATAAACTTTCATAAACAAACTTGATGACAAATCAAAAGACTTTAGAAAATATATTTCCATTGATTCCAATTTTCTGGGCCAGGGAGATAGGTCAACAGCATAAGCCCAGCCTGACAAACACAAGTCCTGAGTTCAATCCCCATTACAAAAAAAAGAGAAATGATTCCAATTTCCTACTGAAAATTTTCAAAAGATGCATTGTTTGTCTCTCCAACTCAAATTTCAATTCCACTACATTCTCCCAATTATAAAGTTCGAAATTTTGTGTCCAAGCATTAAACTAGTCATGAAAATCTAGTCTTTGTTCATCATGTCTAGGCAACTCCTTCTTTTGCTTAAAATAGTAGTAGTATTGTTACTGGTACTAACAATAACCCAAAATTATACTTTCTTCAAAAAAAAATTTTTTTAATGTGGCAAATTTCAAACTTGCATTATCTTTTAGTGGGATCCCTAGCTCATAATTACTCTGAAACAGAAAAAGTTCACTTGCCAATTTCCAAAAGTAACACATGAGCATTATTCATAGAGAAATGTTTAAACTCACGTCATCAGTTTTGACCAAACAACCCTACACATGCTGACTCCGCGGTCCTCAGTGTAATAACCAGCACCAGCATCCCTCAGACACTAAATGCACACACCCATGGATCGCGAGCCCTCAAGCAGGACTTTAATGCAGGCCACTCAAAGAACGACACACACAACACAAGCAGTGTAAAACAAAAGAAAAAAAAGTTACCTCAGTAAATATTCTGCATATATTACAGGCTCTGGCAAAATCTGCTCTAAATATTCTTCACCTTCATCTCCTCTTGACTTCAAATACTCACAAAGAGTGCGCCAATACAAAGCCAATTCAGGAGTTAATGTTTCCACTGGAATTAATTTTCTTCATTTAAAAGAAAAAGAAAAACCCAGTATTTATACCACGCTTAAAAACTGAAAAAAACAATTAAAATAAGCAGTTGATTTATAACCACTGTTATTTCAACTACAAATTAATTACATTATCCACACAAAAAAGGAACAACAACAACAAAAAAAATACCAAGAACAAAAGGGGAAAAAGTTTAAAAAAATAAAATCTTTCACATTTTAAAAAGAAAAAGGGAACAAGTCAAATGAGCAAACATACATTAGAGGTGGTAGTTTTTCAGTATTTTTCATAGTGGGCTAATGCAACAATCAAAGTGAGAGTGAGTTATAGTTAGCTGTCAGGATAAAGTAATGAGTTCTTACAGGGGGAGAGCAGAACAGGAAAAAATCCAAGTAAACAAAAGAGAAGCAGATACAAGGTACTGCTATAACCCCAAGTACTGGATGAAAGGCTTGACACCAGCGTGACGCCCCAATACCCAAGCTGTGTGCAGCAGAGGCATCGCTTTCAGCTCAACACCAGTGCCCTCCCTCAGCAAACACAAGATGTCCTAGAAGAGGCAATACAGAGCAAGGACTCTTCCAAACACCTGCACTTCGGAAGAGACCCAAACATTCATATGGATGCCTCAAGGACTTCGCCCATGGAGGAACACGACATCCACAGAACTTTGACCATTTATGCTTACTAAGATCTTCCAGCCTAAGGTCCCTTGCCTTCTTTTAAGTCCAATTAAAAATAAAAAGCCTGGGGCTGGGGGCCTGCCCATTAGCTCAGTTGCTTAAGTGCCTGCTTAAACAAAGCAGTCAGCCTCAGGGTGCTGTGGTTCAAAACCCAAATGCTCAAGCCCGCACTGAAGGCAACCCGAGTTGAACCCCCAGTACAGCAAAATAAATAAATAATAAAGAGGGACCACCCACTCAGGCCCCCCTCCTGTTCCTCTCTCAGACATGAGCTTTCTTTCCAATAAATCTATTCTGCTCATAAAATAAATAAATAAAAAGCCTATTTCTCCCTACTCCCTATAGACAGCCTTTTCACACCATGTTGCCTTTATACAAGCCTGGTGGTCTCAACTGGTCTCTGCCTCATGCCATTCTTTACAACAGGGAGAAAAAACTGTAAATGCAGAAGTTCACGATTAGGACAACTCAAGTAATGAATGCTTTATGTACCTGTCATCATTTTTACAGACTCCTACCAGTTCACTGAGAGGAGCTTTTGAGAATAAGGCATTGAGGACAGAGACTGCCACTTCAGAAGAATTTTCCACATCCAATCGATGAAGCAACTCTAAAATATTTCCTTCAGTAAAATGCAACCAGCCCTGGAGAAGATGTTTCTGCATTGCTTGTTTGACAGCATCTGTTGAGTCATTTGAAATAAGTAAACAAAGGGCCCAATTAGCTTTCATTTCCAGTCTTCTATATGTTTTAATTAACTTTTCTAGATCAATATTAACACAAAGTTGAAAGGCAAAATAGAAATTAAGAGGCAGAATAAAGCATACTGGACCAGAAAATAAAATCAACAGAACATAGTGGTACTTTGGTACTCTATTAATTGTTAATTGATTCCGCAAGGCACTACGAGTACCAAAAAGGACGAGCACCCAACTGTTACGGCTGGAAAGGGCAGCATGTCACAAGGTAACCCACGTACATCAAGTACCAAACAAAAGACAACTACTGGGACCAATTTTCTGTAAGGAGAGGCTGAAGCTAGAAGCTGATCACAGCGGCAAGAGGCAAGGCAAGGCTGGTGGGAGAACAAGCAGCACCTGAGGCAAGCCACGTGATACAGCTGCTCTAGTCCAGAGAACACCAGGCCCGAGAGAATCCAAGCAGCCAGTTGCTAGGCAAAGCTGTGTCGCATGACACTAACTTTGTCAGGCTCTACATGACCTCAGCTTTTGTTGCTTATCTTTATTTTCCCCATCCTCTCAGAAGAGGAAATTTTCACCTGAAATGCATCAAGTACCAAGTTTGCAAGCAATTAAGCCATGGTTTGGCAAAAGTGACAAGTGTCCCTCACTTCCAAACAAATGGGAGATTCTGCACCAATTACCCCAGCACTACAATAGCACACACAGTCTTTGTATTTCCTCTCCTCTGGGTTCAGTGAGGTTCAGTTATTAGTCCAGATCACACAATGTCTATTACTGTATTGCCTGGCTTTATTTACTACCCCACTGCTATCTTCAATAATAAATCAAAACAGATTATAACAATTCAATAATAAATCATAACAATCACCAAAAAAATGATTTTCTTAGATTTAAGGTCTTTCTCTTCATTAGTCCTCTGCCAATGTTTTCATATCAAGTTGGTTTTCTTATTACAGCAAAATTAAGCCACCTTGGCCTTCCCACGGGAATTTAAAAGTGAAAAACTGTCATTTCCATAAGCAGATTCTCCATCAGATATCGGGCAAAAAAAAATACTGGTCTGGTGCACAAAATATGCGTGCCAAGTTATGCAGAAAATGGATAGCACTTTTTAAAGGAAGAGGTTATGTTTAACTTCTAACATGAATTAGTTCCACAGGCTTAACTATAGCTTTTCCATCTGGGAAAGAGGAAAGTGAGAGAAATAAACTCTGCTTCTTCAAATTATCACGATGTTTACCTCGAGGAAATGCCTTTTTTTTTTTTTTGGTGGAACCAGGGATTTGATCTCAGGCCCTTGTGCATGCCAGGGAAGTACTTATTCTACTGTGCCATCTCCCCAGTGCCCTGAAATGCTTTCTAATGATGAGTTTCAACAGCTATGGAAGTGACAGATGAGTTTCAACAGCTATGGAAGTGACAACTTCAAAATCTACCAAACTTTGTACATAAAGATGTATATCTCACCTGATCTGTCATTAAGACCTTGCTGAAGAAGCATTACTCTTTGAGCAATGGACATAGCTCTCATATGAACTTTTTCAGCTAAAATCTTAAAAAGTAAAAAGATAGTCATTAAATTCAACACAATTATTAGTTTCTTATCGAATAATATAGCACTTACCTTAGAAAATTAACCAGAATCTCCAAATTAGTATCTGTCAAAGGACTGATATCTAGAATATATAAGAAACTCAAACAGATTCCCCTAAACTTACAAGACCCAATCCAAAAATAGGCATCTAAAATAGACACTTCTCTGATGAAGAAGTATAAACAGAAAATATATGAAAAAATGTTCAACATCACTGGTCATCCAAGAGATGCAAATTAAAACAACTGAGATTCCATCTCACTCCAGAAAAAAATAGCTATTATTAAGAAATTAACCAATAACAAATGCTGGCAGAGTTATAGGGAAAAAAGAACCTGTCTCCACTGTCAGTGGGAGTGCAGATTGGTGTAACCGCTGTGAAAATCATCATGGAGACTCCTCAAAAAACTGAAACTACAGGTTCCATTTGACCCAGCTATTTCCCTTCTTGGTATCTTCACAAAAAATTAAAAGCATCATACCACATGGATATACACACCCCCATATTTATGGCAGCACTGTTTGTAATAGAAATCTTGGAAACAGCCTAAATGTCCATCAACTGATGAATGGATAAAGAAGATACAGGATATATATATATATATACACAATGGAGTACTACTCTATAATAAAGGATAAACTTGAAACATTTCCAGATAAATGGATGCACCTTGAGACCATTCTCTGAAGTGAAATAAATCAAACACACATGCTTGAATATCACACTGCTTCTCTGGTATGAGAAATCAAGAGTAAATAAGGACCAAAAGGTGTAATACAGGCCAGGTGTGGTGGTGCACACCTGTCACAAATATGAGGCCAGCCTGAACTATATAGTGAATTCAAGGCTAGACTGAAGTATATAGGGAGACCCTATCTCAAAAAAAAAAAAAAAAAAGTATAAGCAATATGAGGAACAGAAAAAAAATGTTCAAATGGGAAGGAGAACAAGGGAGGGAAGAGGGAAAAAGGAAGGAAGGGAAAAGAAAAAATGGATACAAAGCTTTTGTAAATAAGCAGGGAAAGAGACTGAAGGGAAAGGAAGAGGATGGGAAAAATGTATCAAGATATATCACATATAGGTACAGATTCCTTATGATGACTATGTTCATTATTTAAAATGTACCAATAAAACTAATTTTAAAAAATTTTAAGAACTAGGGCTGGTGAGATGGCTCAGTGGTCTAAAGCACCTACTTAGAACAAGCTTAGCGAAGCACAGGGACCGTGGTTCAATCCCTCAGCACCACATGCCAGCCAGCACTGCCCCCTGGTGGGATGAGCTGGCCACACACACACACAAATAAATAAATAAAATGTTTTTAAAAAAATTAAGAAATAAAATTGGCTTCTCTGGGAAAAAAAACCGTCAATACATTTAAAAAATAAGGTTTTACTTAAATTACCCACACTCTCCATGGTAATTTCAAGTGAAGTCATTACTATGTGGTGAGTATTTTTCAAAAATACCTTAAGAAAACAGTTTATCTTTTAAGAATACGCCTACACAACACATCAGACTTGCTTACCTGATAAGCCAGCTTTCTGACAGCCTCTCTAACATCCTTGGTGCGCCCGACAATTTTTGGTAAAGTCTTGGCTGAAGGTGCAATGCAGGACAACACTGCCCGCCGAACTTCTGGATTTGAATCATTTTCAATCAAAGTGACATATGCTAAAAAGAGAATATCTGTTAGCACTAAACAAATTCTTAAGAGTTAAAACAGTCCACATTTCAGTACTTTAAAATGATGAAGGTACCATGTTTTAGTCTTACACTTTTAATCTTTAGCTGAAAAATTATTTTCACAAACTTCCTTCCTAAGGACAGAATGAGAAATTTAGACTAACAGACTGGTTATCAGGCCTAAAACTGAAAACAATCCTCACAGGCAGAGAAAGTTTATTGTATTTAGCAGTCCACACCCACTTCACGTATTTAAATATACTTACCTGTACTTGTAACACTGTGCCCTACCTCATCAAGTATGTGCTCACTATTAAACACATACTTTACATTAATACCCAAAATACCAACTACTATAAACCACCAAAATTGATTATAAAACTGGCAACAGAGGAAAAGGAAAGAACTTAAGAATATCCAAAATGTACTGAGCATACATGGGAAAGTATGAATTTTTTACCCCAGGGGTAACAAATTAAGTCCTAAAGTGAGTTAAAACGGCAATCACGATATCATAGATCAATAACTCTTGGCATCAGAATCTCTGTTCAATGTAAGACACCCAGACAGCAATAAAATTAGCTATCTAAAACAGGAAGAGAGCTATAATTTGTAATACCCAAGGATTTTTCAGAATATATAAAAACTCCAAAAAAACCCACAATTCTTTTCAAATAAAATCTTAACAGGAAAATGGTCAAAACACACTAACAGGCATCATGAATGCATACAGCAGTGGTCCCATAAGATCATAATGGAGCTGAAAGTTCTACGACGTAGTCAGCTGTGGCAACATCACACAGCAATGCATTACTCATATTTGAGACGGGGCTCATCTAAACAAGCTTAAAGCACCTGCCAGTGGACCAAAGGCGTAACCATACAATTAACTACAGCACCACACACTTGATAAGGAGAAACACAAGTATAAATTTTTATTTTTATTTATTCATTTTTGTATTTCAGGGAAGGGTCTACAGAGTGTTCAGGGTCTCACTACTAGATCCAACCGGTAGTGATCCGCCTGTTTATAGACTCCCAAGTGCTGCATTTACAGGCATGCCACCACACCCAATCTCAATTGCTGTTTCAGCACGGTCCATGGATCCATGGAACCCCTAACCCCTGTGCCTGCTTGCAGGCACTTTAATTCACTAAGCTATCTATCTAGCCCTCAACTATAAATTTTTAAATAAACACATCATCCAATAAAAAAACCACATATTAAGAAAATTCATGGTAACATAGTTTTCAAAAGCAAAATAACTGGAAACAGAGGGTCCACTAACACTTGAAATAATAAAATCAGAAAACAAAACCTTAATAAGACAAGAATTAATTCCAAATTCAAGATAACAATTCCCTGTAAGGGGGAGGCATGCAACAGGATGAGATGCAAGACAGACTGATAATAAACTATATTTTTTAAGTTGGATGATTGCTACTTGCGTATTACACTCAATTTATATAGGTTGTGATAAAAATTCAACTATTGAGAAGTAACAAAATTAACAAAACTGAGATTTAAGAAGCGATACATACCATCAACCACCGGGCACTCATCATTTTTGGGATCCTGAAGTCGTGACAGAGCCAGAACTGCCTGGATTCTCACATTAGGAATCTTATCTCTTAATCTAATAAGCATGGCTTCATTAATTTTATCAAACAAATCATCATCAATCAGAGCATTTTCTGGCATACTTCCCAAAAATTTGTTTATGAGCTGGCAGACTCTAAATCTGACTGCACTGCTGTTTGCTTCATGATGCTAAAAAAATAAATAAATAAATCAAAAACTTATCCCAGTAGCATTACATACCTAAATATTATCACTCGAACTCTGCATACACACATACTGAAGGTATTTTTTATACAGTTAAATCTGAAGAGTATTTGCTAAATTACAAAAACATATTCCTCTTCGTAGGAACATTTCTAAAATAACTCATTTCTGACTTCAGAATTGGTTCATAGAGACTATTAAAAGTTTAATGCTTTGATTATTTTTAAAGCCCACCTTTCAATTTAATGACAGGTATATTTCCTATAAAGTATACTTGGATATTTCATCGATCACAAGATATTTCACTAAACTATACACCTTATGGTAAAATGTTCCATATCACTTGCTCAAAATGTCACTTTTCATAATACCTTTAAAAGAAAAGTAAACAAATAATGTAAAATGCCACCATCTTCCTCTTCCTCATTATCTTCCATACCAGACTGGTGAAACGAAGTAACAAACTTGGCTGCAAATTCTATGACCCTCTCCACAGCTGGTTCACGTTTATAGACCACCATGGCATATTTAAGGCAATGGACGAACTCCTCATGAAATACTGCTTTATCATCTGTCTGTAAGACAAAACAAACCGCATAAACTGTACTGATAAACTTACCCAGACATTATCAAAAACATTGGCCATAAGTCAGACTAAAATCTCTTAGTGAGCTTTCAGTTGCTCAAACCAGCTAAAGGGAGGTACGTCTACACGAGTTGCTCTCCCGGAGGGCAAGATTCCTTCACACATCCTCGATGGCCCTGAATTAATTCCCAGGATGCGTTTACTATCAGCGCAATAACATCACGCCCCTTTATGAGCGGTCCAAATCAACACGGCCTTCCCCACCGACATCAAGGTAACTCCACTTCCCCAGGTCCTGTCCCACGCTTCCTGCGGCTCCACTCACACAGCATTTACACCAACAGGAAGGCGACCCATCCGGTATTTGGCAGGTGGGTCCGCTGTAGCCGCAGGACAAGGATGGAATAAGGCGACACTCGGCTCTTCCGAGTGTCGAGGGACACCTCCGCGCACGGCGCGCCTCGGCATCCGCCCGCGGGCTCAGAGCTCGGCAACGCCTCGGCCCGAGCTCGACGCGGGCGGAGTTCACGGCCCACGCCGCCCCGAGGCAGGACAGGAAGAAAACACCCCCGGCCCGCCTTCCTCGGCAAGTCTCCCGACCGCTCGGCGGCGAGTCGCGAAGCGCGCGCCGGGGTCGGGGGCCACCGGGCACCCGGGCCTACCGTGCGGTAGGTGCGGCTCAGCGCCACCACCAGCTTCGCCTGGTTCTGGTGTGGCTGCTGGGCCAGGCGAAAGGCCTCCTTGACCGGCAGCAGCTTCTTCTCCGCTCCCATGGCTCCTGGACGAGCACCGCGAACAGCCCCAAGGGCTAGTTCTCCAAACTCTTCCAGATCCCGGGAGAGCTCCCCGGGGCCTGCGGGGCGTGGTTACCGCCAAAGCGTTCAAACAACTCCCGCGAGAAAAAGGAAATACCGCGAGAACCTCGAGAAAGCTAGGAAGCCAAAGAGGCACGAGATGGCCCCGCCCCTAGCAGGGCCCGTGGTGAGGGCGCATGCGCGCAGGCTGTGTCCAGATGTTTCTTTTCCGGTAGGAAGCGGGGGGGGGGGGGGGGTTAAAGGCCGGAAGTGAGGTCATCAAGGAGCCACAAGAAGGTGTTCCGAATGGGGTCGCTAGAGCTTTACGTAGCAGATTCGTGCTGTAGGCGTGAGGGAAAGAAGTAGAACGGCTCCTTCTTGGTGAGAACTGGAAAGCTGCTGAGGAGAAGGGTCTCTGCTCGGGCTGGAGGGGCGGGGGGGGGAGGGGCGAAAGGACGGGTACGCACGGAGACGGAAAAAGGCGGGATTGCCGGCCGCAGGCCGGGGCCTGAGGCGGAGGGTTCCCGGTTCTGTGGGGAAGGCTTTGGCACGGGCTTGCGCCGCAGCGGGGAGGAGTGCTGCCGCGTAATTGTGCTGCAGTTCTTTTTGGATATGCCAGTTCTGCAGGCCTGCGTTGCAAACCTGCGTAAAGATACTGGAGTAAACAAAGACAAGTAGAGAATGGAAGGGACTTGAGCGTCGTGACTGAAATAACATCAAGAAGTACGTCTTGAAATGTTTTCTGTCAAATGTGAAATTCTCAGATAAAAACGAACGTTGTTGAGGCTCAGCACATAACCTTTCCATAACTTGGCAATTTTGGGGCTGTTTTTTTGGTTTTTATTTTTGAGAGAGGGACTCACTATGCAGTTCAGGCAGACCTGGAGCTCACTTTGTAGCCCAGGTAGGTCTCGGGACTCACAGCGATCGGATCCTCCTGCCTCAGCCTCCTGAATGCTGGGCTCCTCGCACGCCTGCGCCGCCGTCACTGCTGGGCCGGCTGTTTTGAAAAACTGCAAACGAGTTCCTGTGAAAAGCTGTCTTTTATCAGAAAACGTTTACACCTGTGGAAAAGAAACTATGTTAATAAAGTGTGTCAGTAGGAGGGCTGCTCCCAGTTTCTATTAATAGGAGTGTATCTGCATGACCACACAACCTTTATTCACCATTCATTTCCTCTGCTGACCCTTTCTTCTGTCATCATCCCCAGCTGCACCCCAAAGCCCTATTCTCTTCGTTCACTACGGTATATAGAGGGCTATCTTCTCACTGTTCTAGTCTAGTGTACTTTTCTAAGTACACTAATGAATATGCCATTTTTCCCTGTTAATGTCTTTCTTCAGTTGATAACCCAACCAAAGATGAGGCTAGAGGAACGCTTTTTCCCTCCCCATGACTCTCCCCACCATCAGTTCAAGATACAAGACTTTACAAAACTGATTCCATACCCTTCTTTCAAATTACTTTCCCTCGCCACAAAAACAAATTTTCATATTTACTGTTAATTTTCATTACACAAATGTCTACATAGCTATGAGAATAAAGTTCTAAATAAGTTATGCTGTTTTGAGTGTTTTAACCATTATTTGAGTCATCCTAAGTGTGGCTGGCTTTTTTCAATCCATGTGGCTTTGAGATTTACTCATGCTGATAAGTATTAGTAACTTATTCCTCGTCAGCTCTTATTATTTGCCAGACATGATTCCAACCACTTTCTTTAGTCCTTACAAACAACCCCTGCAAGGTAACTTCAGTACTTATTTATTTTGGGTAATAATGCAGGGGGTTGGACTAAGGGCCTTCACCCTAAACTTTATTTTGAAAGGGGCTGGCTTCAAACTTGCTGTACTCTAAATTTAGCTTCCCAGAGTGCTGAGATCCCAGTCACGTGCCACCATATCCTACTTAGTCTTTTAAGATCAGCCAGCTGAGGTATATAGTTTGTTAGAGGATTCTATTGGATCGATGTGCCATATTTTTTTTCCCGATTCCAAATTTCTTGAATTATGTAGGTATTCAAATGCTAAAATAATGGATATGGTAGCATTTGATTGCCTGTAGTTTGGGATTTAAAATAATTTTTTTTTAGGAGAAAGGATTCAGGTTAATCTAACAGAGCAAAGGCATAAAAGCCTGAGGATATATGTAATAAACTGGTAACATTTATAATCTCACTATAAACTGGAATGCCTAGAAAGAGAATAAAAAGGGCCTTATTTTTAATCAAATATACCTGAAGTATTTCAGCATGTAATCAATCCACATAAATTGAAATAATTTGCATTCTTACCAAATCTTGTAAAGTAGACCTTATTTATACTAGCCACATTTCATGTGTTCAGTGATGCATGTAGCTAGTAATCAAGGTATTGGAGGGCACAGAACTATTCATAGTTTGAGAAACTCCAAATACACCATTTATTTTAATGGAAGGTCAACTGGTAAACTAAAGGAATAAACTAAAATTTGGTCACATTTTTCTCATTTTGTGGGCTTTAATGCCCCACTTCTTATGCTTTAAGTGCTTACTACCTCTGCGACATTGCAAAATTATAAACTGTTACTTCTTTATATTTTTGGCTCTGAAGGATGAGAAACTTCATATTACTTTGTCCGTTGCTGAAGCATGAGGCATCTGGCCACCAGAGGTCAGCCTAACTATATTTTTCTCAACTGTTGGAAGATGCTGGATTAAATTTCTCTGCTGTAAAATTTACATGGTTCTTGGCTTTTGCTTTTAATACTGGGGAATAGAAAAATAATATTGACTGGGGGATAAATTTGTTCCTGTTCTTGGTAAGCTTAGTACAAGAAATAACGCAAACTAAAAAGTGCATGTATTAGGGGCTGTCAATTTCCAAAACCGTTTCTAACATGCCCATAGCCTGGATGTATAATATGGAAAAGGAAAGATCTATAAGGCATGTTTTGGATATCCTAAGCTTAAATGGACAGTAAAATTACCTAGGGCTTCAGGCTTTAATCATACCTATAGTTTTCTCATTCATAAATGAAGGTTACCTTTCTAGGTAGTCCAACTATTAAATCACTAGCTTCCAAGGGCATTTGTATCACCTATGGAAAGTATTGGATCCTTGCAGATGTCCTTAACAACTGACGTCCTGTCATCCCACTGTACAAAAGTCACTACACCAATAGGCAAGCAAGCAACTACTAAGCGCTTTGTGTTACTGTTGTGGGCAACTGGTGTAGATAGAAATATCATAAGCAGTCAGACAGGGGCAAGCCCTCAAGGAGACAATATGACAGACAAGGTGACTTTGCAACTTGGAAGAGATACTCCAGCTGTGGGCCAGATTTAGAATAAACAAATGCAGACCACACAGTTCCCTAAGGATGGGCATCAAGGATTGATATTCTAAATAGATATCAGTCACCTCGAAAGAGCCCAAATGAGTCACTAACCTAACCCTCAATAGGAAGAGAGCCTGTCTCATATTCATGCCCACTTGCTACTTGACTCACTTTCTCATTTGGTACTGGATTTAATCAATTTTACCTGAGCAATGGTGCTTTTAATCCCATTGGTTGATCATAGTTTTGTCGCACCTCATGCCCACCTAAGCGAGTTCCCGTGTTTACCACCTTAGACCCACCTCACTGCATGGTTTTATTCTATAAAGTTCCCTGGAAGAGACAGCTCAGGCCCCCTTCTGTCCTTCTCTAGGACAGGAGCTTTCTTTCCCCCCAATAAATATGTTCTGCTCTTAACCTCTATTTGTTCCTAAAATTCATTCTTCAGTTTTAGAGAACATGAATTCGTCCCAGGTACCTTTCAGGTTGGGAGTTTCATTTTCCCCTATATCATTACCAAGTAGCATACATCACTGCCAACAAAACAGATGGTACAAAGTGTCTCTTCACAGTATCATTACCAGTTGAGACATTAGGAAGCACTTTTCTTGAGCAGCCAGGAGTTGAAGGAGATACTCCCTGACTTGTACCACTGTGACATGACTAACACTTTATTCACTGAACTGGTAGTGAAGACTAAGATATTTTCCTTTTAAATGAAGAGTGTGAGATGTATTCTTTTTTTTTTTTTTTTTTTGGAACCGGGGATTGAACTCAGGCCCTTGCACTTGCCAGGCAAGCACTTTATCTACTGAGCCATCTCCCTGGCCCCATGAGATGTATTCTTGATGAACTCTATACAGTGGCTTGAGCCAGAGGCATACTTTATAGTCTGTGTAATGGACTGTGACAATCTTACTGAATGATTTTTCATCTCTTGTTTCTCTTTGTCAATGTTAATCAGTGCTCTACTGGCTTAAACCATTAACTTTTTCTAGTTCCTCCATTCTGTTTCATTCTAATGGGTCCCAGAACTCCTCCTGACTGCTTACCAAAATCAGAAAGTGACACAGAAAAAGAAAGTCATTTGGAACATAAATGGTGTCTATTTTGGATGAGAATGGGATTCCTCTAAAGAAGATCCCATAGCACCTAACCTAGCAACATATTTTGTGAGTTGTCTGTCAAGTGAAGGTTTTGGAAAACCTTATGTCCTAATTCCTGGTAATGTCACTTTTGGCTCCAAGTACACCAGTCCACACACCCGGAGAGACACGTCTAAGAATCTCCCATTGTTGCTATTGTGTCCCTAAACTGAAACCAATTGCTGAATGGCCCCCTCTCATCTTTTCTTGAGTCTGACATTTTAAAAACTCCTTAGAGGCCCTGGCTAATTCTCTAGAGATTGTACCACTCTAAATGGAGTGTTCCAGTTTGAAACCAGACAGTTAAGCAAAACATTGAGTAAAGCCACTCCCATAACCAGATATTTAGAACAGATTCCTGATTCACCCGCTGCTAGTTGTCACTGTGACTGCCTAACTAAATCAGTTAGGGAAATAAGCCACACTGCACCATTGACACTAGTTGCTCCTACACTGACTTCAAAAGGCAGCTAACAAACTCCTAACTTCATCACTATAAAGATCATCATTTGTTGTGATATAATCCAATGTTGCTAATCAATAAAGGGGTACACTGTAGCAGTCTACAGTTTAACAACTTATGCCTTTTTAACCAAACTACCATGCCCTGACAAGGTAAAGTGCTACCCCGTATTGAGTATCTACCCAAAAGTTCTATAATACAGCTACAGAAAATGTTTGTTGTGAACAAGCCTTATGACAAACTGGATAAAAATGAAGCTGTCAAGTATTAGTCAAAAGAGACCATATTTAAAGGCCAAGTTGAGTATTCTCCACACTCAGTACTCTCCCCACCCCAATTTATTCTGCCTATCTGAATATACTTTAACTACACACCTGGTTATTAATGGGGAGGGAAAAGCAAGCCATCACTGCTATTGTTACTCAACTAACACAACTATTACAGAGGTAGGGCTCAGCAAGAAGTTGTTCCCCTGGATAGCCCCTCTACACACACACACACACACAACCTTCTGAGCATTACTTTTTCTGACATTTATTTCTAGGGAGGTAACTGAAATTGGATAATTACAGAAAAGAATACAGTGGGAATATAAATTTAACTCCATATATTTTCCCAGGTTTAGGAAAACCTAGGGTTCCTGGTTTTTTTCTGTTTTTGTTTTGTTTTGTTTTGTTTTGTTTTGTTTTGTTTTGTTTTGTTTTAAAGAGGGAAATTTCAAATCTAGCCTACCTTACTCCAAAACCTGCAGTAACAGCATGGACATTATGTGTCAGAAGCTCCCCTCAGGCTGGCTTCAGTGAAACTGGCCTATAGAGTCATCCCATGGGTTTACAGAATCCTGTTCTGCAGAGAATCTATTTCCTGGGTCTTGGCACCCAGGGTTTTGTCAAGAACAAAATACATTCCAGAAGATGAATGGAAAAGGATTAAGAAAGAATTTATGCTTTCGGTATTAACTACCAAAGGAATAAAATATTCCATCTGTATAGCATTCACGTGCCTTTTCTACATCCATTACAAATGATTCTGGAACCATTCTAATTTTAATGAACCTTTTTTTAGAAAATCTCAGCTTAACTCATCTTGAAGTACAGCCTTAGCAGCATTGTTTCCCTAAGCAGATTAGCTTTCGGCTTTTCTTCTGCCTGAGCAAGGAACAGTATGTAATCTTACAATGACTCTTGCCGTGTTTATTTAAATGAGCTAACATACATAAAAATCAATGCCTTGAAATCCTATATAAAACAAAATGCATGAAACTATTAAATTTTCTCACAAATCCTATAGTAAAATATAAATCCTGTGTGTGATTCTGAATAACTTGGCATCTAAGAGGAATCAGAAAACAGGTTGTTAAACATGTATCAGATATCCTCTTTTTTTTTTTTTTTTTTTTTTTTTTTGCGGTACTGGAGATCAAACTCAGGACCTTACATTTGCCAGGCAGGCGCTTATGCTGCTGAGCTATCTCCCCGGTCCTATCCTCTTCATTTTAGTTTTATTTTTTCCTATTTCTATAATTTTTTTTCCTATTTCCATAATTTCCATAATTCTATGTATAAGATGGAATTCAAAAAGCAATGATGGAATCACAGATCTGTAAATGTACAGTAAGTGCAAGGGGAGTAAAGAATGTTTATACTCTAGTGACTGTTTCTGCTGAGGTTTCATTGTTTTGTCTGAAGGGAAAAGGAGGAAATTCTAGTGGATAGAGATGAAGTTTCTTTGTGAAATTATCAAACTGAAACTATACCATACTGTTAGTATAACAGAAATCATTCCTATGTAGGTATTCTGTGAAGTTGGTTTTTAACACATTAAAAGAAACTGTTCCAGGTTTTTTAAAGGAAGGGCGTGGGAAGAGGAATAGAAGAGATCTGAAAATTAAAATATGTTGACTTTTTTGTATCCTATATATGTTCCTTTTTCTGTGTGTGTTTATCAAAGTGTCTTACTCGTGAATACATTTTTATTATTCATTCTGAAAAGAAGGCTTCTCTCAGCACAGTGGCTGAATAAACCAACAGCTTTGTATCTGCTCGGCAGAGTACGGGCATTTATCCTTAGCAAAGGAAATAGCTCCTGCTTTGCTTAAGGTACATTCACCATTCAATAAGTACCAAATTGCATCGGTCGATGCACTGTCTATATCTGTGGGATGTCTCTATTAGAAAGTGTCTTGGTGGGCCTGCCATGCTGGTCCTGCCCTTAGGTGCGCTGATGGCAATTGAGACTGGAAATGTCTCGGCATCTTTAGACAAGAAACACACTGGAAGAAAAAAATGTATCATTCAGTCAAAACCACATTTGAACCCACTGTTTATAGTTTTTAAGTTATCCCTGATTACACAAAATGATAAGGACCAGGATAAGCCTTAAGCCTTAACATTTTATATGCCAGAGACGTGGGGTAGGTTAGGAATTTACCAGTTCGTATTCTTTCTAAATGGCTATCCCTCCAATTAAATGGAGTAATGTAGTCACCATAATTGGGATTAAGACAGATAAATTCATCCTCTACTTAACAAAATAGTTATCAAAGTAAGGAAACAGGCTTTCTAAACCAGTGGACATTAATAAGTTAGGCAAAGATGTTTTCTCAGTGCAGACAGGCAATATTTTATTGAAGTGTCCAGATACCTTGAGCCTAGTCTTTTAGTTCTATCTCCTTCCTAAAACTAGGGAAAAAATTCATGCATGATAGAAGGAGACATGACACATCCTTTCTGGAGGGTTTTCCTGCGTGGCCTCTCATCATCCTTTTTTCTAAAGAATTTCTCTATCATGAAAAATGTCTTTGTACTTTTTTTTTTTTTTTTGTGGCCAGCTCAGCCCACCCCGAGGGTGGCATTGGCACTGCATGTAGTGCTGGAGATCAAACCGCAGTCCCCTGCCCTGCCTACACTTGCCTAAGCAAGTGCCTTAGACCAGTGGGCTTTCTCACGGGCTCAAAAAAAATAGACTAAATTACTAAAGCAATTAAGGATCTGAGAAATTACTTGAGTTATTTTCTTACTAATGAATAAATTTTTATGTTTAATAAATGGCTTTCTATGTTTGGCTCTAGGGCTAGAGAATGTAGTGTCTTTTAGATCAGCCTATTAGTTTTTAAAATCTCTTTATTAAAAGTTTAGCTGTTCATCTAATAATATGGAAGAGTATATACTATGGTTCAGACACTGGGAATGCAAAATTATCTAAAATACTTCTAAAAGACTAGCTGTTCTATGAACCAACACACATTACCTAAGCCATTTCAGCTCTCTAGGGTTATATGAATTTATTCTAAACTCTAATCTATACTGACTCTTGAAATATTTTCAAATGGCTTATGGTGGAGGCTCAAACCAGTTGAGTAGAGAATTCATCCTATGAGACTGGGCATGGTGGCGCACCTGTAATCCCAACTCGTGAGAGGCTGTAAACAGGCAGATCACTACGAGTCTGATCTAGTAGTGAGACCCTGAACACCCTGTAGACCCTCTCCCCCACCCCCCAAAAAAAAGAATTCATCCTAGGTAGTAGAGATTCATATAGAAGGCAGACTCCAACAATATTAAGCAGTTACTAATGAAATTCTGATCAAATGGGACCTAGCTGCAGGAGAGGAGAGCAGGGCATGGGACAACCATATCCTTCCTCATTCAGTAAAATGAGTCAGAAAATAATATACACATCTTTTAAGTGCCCATGTATGGAAAAGCTGGTAGAACCCATGACTGAGAGCAGAGGTACTGGGAGACTTCATTTTTTCATTCCTGAATATTGTACCACATGAATATATTACCTATTTTTAAAATATCTCTTTTAGCCAGGGAGATGGCTCAGTGGAATAAGCGCTTCCCTGGCAAGTGCAAGGGCCTGAGTTCAATCCCCGGTTCCGCAGGGGAAAAAAACCCAAAAATATCTATTTTAAAAAGTACAATACTGGGGGCTGGGGAGATAGCTCAGTAGAATAAGTGCTTCCCTGGCAAGTATAAGGGCCTGAGTTCAATCCCCAGTTCCACAAAAAATAAATAAATTAAATAAATAAGAATTTTAAAAAATACAATACTATCCTATTAACTTGTGAGAACTGATTGGCCAGGGAAGATGTAAGTTTACTGAATCTCAACCAAACATCTACACAAACTTCTATCAACAATGGTGGCTTTACTGCAAAACTGATGCATAATCATAAATGTATTTTATGTTATCCTCCTCTTGAATTTAAGAAATTCCATAGCTTTCTATTTATGAGTCACAGATTTCAAAATGACATTAGCCTTTTTAAAATATTGAGGCATATTCAATTATGTTACTTCATTTAAAATATTATAATACCACATAATGACATTTATACCATTCCAAGCATTTTTATCAGTAACTAACTGCTCTTGGAGCTCAAAAATATCTGAAGTAGTCAGAGGCCAGGACTTTCTCGGCAGCATGACTTGAGTCGGATGTGAGGGCCTATCTGAACAGGAGAGAGGATAAAGAAAGAGTTATGAAAAGCATAGAGGGAATTTGCAACGCTTAGGTGGGCTATCGAAGCAATTCTCAAAAAGTGATTCTGAAAATATGCACAACAGCATCACTGAAATGATTGTTTGAAATACCTTGTCTTGGGTTTATATTGCAGGAATGCTGTAAAATGACTTTTAAAAAAGAAAAAAAAAATAGCAATGGTCAGTTCTAGGGGAAAAAAACCCTGAGAAACAGCCACATTAAAATATTCAATCATAAATCAGCCCTATTAGCAATACTTAATTCCATTAAGTGTTTCCAGTAAATACAGAGTACTCTATTGTTGTGTAAAAAGTGGATCTGGAATATTTCAGTCTTTCTTTGATTGTTGGAGTTCTATTTCTTCAAATTCCAGAAAAATAATGCTGATGCCAAATGCATTGTAAGGTTAAGCCAAATAAATGTACTTTGTAAATTGTGTTTCTGCCATTCAAAAGAACACTATGCCACTGTTTTCATGCATGTTCTTTCGCTCTTGTGTTTCACACTTTGTTGCCAATAACACAGTTTTAAATTAGAAAGTTGAA